CAATAAACGTGCGAATGCAAAGAAAAGCAGGCCACGTATATGACTATTTTTTGAAATAATTATTATTCATCTGTGTGTTCCGTTTCTAAATAACACTCCAGCGGAAGCTACTGTTTACAAAAAAAACTATATTTCTGCAAGACTTACATTTAAAAAAGCCCTCTTTTGGCTGTCCCCGCGGTTACATGTAGAAACTCTGTTTACGCGCACGACCAGCTGTGCAGTATAGGAAAACCTTCTACCAAGAACTTTTTTGCTACTGCATTTTTTGCAACATAACTTCACAGAATAGCTTAATATTTTTTTTAAAATTATATTGCTGCTTTTTTCAAAAAAAATAAATTTGATTCCTTTAACTTTGCTTTAGTTCCATTTGATCAAATTCGCACAAAATTTTCTAGTACTGGAAGGGATAATTATTCCACATTTTTTTACTAATTATGGAATTCTTCCGCAGCACACTGTATATTAGAAGAAAATTTTGTCCTGTCTTTCCGTATAGTATACGGAATTCTTTTTATGTAAACATATTCATGATTAAGCCAAAATGAGAGACTTTTTCCCCAATAACTTTAAATTAGAGGGCATTTTCCCAAACTAAAGCCGTCCTTAGTATTAAATCCACTTAGTTGATCAAAATAACCTGTCCAGGTAAACGCTGCACTACCTAGTTAAATTTCGTCCTGAAATTTGTTTGCAGGATCCGCAGAACTGTACTTAAGGTCCTCTTTTTTCCCACTTTCGTCACTGCAGTGTGTCTTAACGCGTTAAAGATGGGTAACAACAAAGATGTGTTTGTGATCAACGGGGTTGTTCCTCCCGATGTGGAGAATACGCATGATATTGGTTGCCTTGCGGTAGACTGTTGTCTTTTTTTCCAATCTGCCAGTTTTGTCACTTTATATCAAGGAAGGGTAACCGATTATTGACCACTTTTTCTATAGTGAATTCTATGTCAGAATGGATGAAGTTAAGCCGTAAAGTGAGGTAAAAATCGTTGAGGTTTATTCTGTCATTCCATGTGTATCGGCGCATAGTTTCGTTTTTCACGTGAATTTTTTTCCTACAGACCCTTAACTCAACCTTTCAAAAATTGTTTTAATTGTCGAGCTTAAGCCTTATTCCGGTCACCAGAATGAGGACCCAAAATATATAAACTGCAGAAATCATAACGTTCCTCCCCCGGTAAGTTATTATCTAGTATTTTCAGTATATACATCTTTAAATAATTTTCAATGAAGTTCCATTTGCTCTGAGCCCTCGTCAAGGTTATGGTAATGCAACGGCTGTTACTTTAAGCTCACAGCAATGCCTCTCAATACATAAGCAAAATGCCCTTACACAGCCCTACACTTGTGTTGAGCATTTATGAATACGCACACTAAAGTTGTTCCGTCTAATAGAATAAATGAATTAACTATAAGATTTGATCGGTACAGGTTGTCGTGAGATGGCCTCCATGTCCAACGAAGAATCATGCAATGAGGGACAAGAGGATATATTTTTGAACCAAAAACGTTCTGCGGCTGTTGATATGACATGTGCTGTTTCCAATCTTTACAACACGGTTTGTATTCCTATCATAAGCGGGTTGCAATGTACCCTTCATGGTGTTCGTCGTTTTTCGTGACAGCAAGCAGCCTACTTCCGACAGTCTTGCGGGCTCATTATGCGGCTCCTGTTAGTTACATCTAGCTTGTGTTCAGCTAGTGATGTTGAGAAGCTGTTGACACCTTTCAAGAGGTTATTGCTGTACAAGAGTGCTCACTAAAAGATAGAACGATTTGATTTGGTTTGTCGTCCCGTTTGCGCTTAAATCACTGGAAGCATTTGCGCCGATACCCCTATGCTCAGAGCCCCCCTCCAGCATATTTTACTTTTGCAGCTGTATATTCAACACCTTGCCATAATGCCCTTACATTCCTACGTTTGTGGCCAATTGGCTGGTCGCAATTCAAGCTCTGCAATTGCGCCCCATTTTGTTTTGCCCTTTCTGCACACTGTTGTTTATGGGCACTTTTTGAAAATATATTTTTCGACAATTTTTTTCGAGCAAATGCACTCTGTGCTCGAAACAATTTGGTGCAGGGAGTGCGACTGGAGACAGGAACTAAATGTTAAGTGACGTTGTAGACTTTGGAAGCGGTTACCGTACTAGTCTCCAACTTCACGCAACGGCAAGGCAACCTAAATAAGAGGGCATTTTTCCAAACCAAAGTCGTTCTTAGTATTAAAGCCACTCAGTTGATCAAAATAACCTGTCCAGGTTTACGCTACACTACCCAGTTAAATTTCGTCCTGAAATTTGTTTGCAGGATCCGCAGAACTGTACTTAATATCCTCTTTTTTTCCCACCTTCGTCACTGCAGTGTGTTTTAACGCGTTAAAGGTGGGTTAGAACAAAAATCTGTTTGTGACCAACGGCTTTGTTTCTCCCGAAGTGGAGAATACGCATGGTATTGGTTAACTTGCGGTTGACCGTAACATCAATTAAACAGGGCAACGTAGCATTTCTTGTGACTGTAGCAACAGCTGAGAAATAGGACATGCCACCTTTATTTGTATAAGCATATGAGATATGAATATGCACTAACCAGGTCCATCGTCCTCAGCTGACGTGACCATGCGAACGCCTGGGCTATACTTGGGGCTAGGGCGAGGCTCCGTTTTGGCGGGCAGGATGATTGGTCAAAACTTGACAGCCGCTCGTTGTCCGACGACAGCAGTTTAAGCCAACTTATTACTCCGTCAACACGGCACCGAAAGATCATTACTCAAGGAGATCACGAATCATGCAACAGATTCACAATCCCATCAAACTTTAGTATGTGTCCAAGTTCTGTCAAATGGGCCGCAAATTGGTAGACATCGTTGTTGGTGCTTGCTTAAACATCTGTTTCCAGCGTAGTCTTGCGGTTTCTCTGGCAAATGTGCTTTGCCCGGAACTGCACCAGACGGCAGCTGTTTTAGTCGACAAGATGCGTTCAAATTAAAGCCTTTTTGTAACACCTGCGTATCGCGTGTGCTTGCCTAACTAACCCTTTTCCTTCCGATCGTAGAAAATCAAGTCCTTTGGGTCCCGTCTAGTGGACCAAATCTGCACTCGGCAACCCTGCGACGCGACGGAGTTCATGAACAGTCTCGGAAAGGGGAAGACGAAGTTGGGAAAATTCTTTCCCTACGATATTGAATTCAAATACTGGTATATCGATCATTAATGAAGCATTTTCTGGTACTGGGCACATCTCCTCTGTGGTCAAGGAAGTGGTAAAACTGGTTATGGATTTTCTGTTTCATTTATTTAAATAAACCATAATGAGCGACTCGCCTTTTGATCATCGTGGTTGGGTGGGTGGTGCAGAAATGTAACAATTGACATGCTGTTGACAGTGGTATGGTGCTCACAAGGCGCTTCCAAACATGTAGGAACCTAACTATACTATTCTCCCAAGTAGATATGTTAGCTCTACCATCGTTTTCGATGATATTCACCATATGCTCAAGAGCAGGGTCGGTGACTGTAGTCAGATATAGCGAAAGAAGACGCGCAGCCATCTGCCCCACACTAAACCCTCTTCCTCTTGAATCGGTGAAAAAACCAAGTCAAGATGACCAAGCAGACAGAAACCACCTAACGTAGCCGTTTGCGCTGGAGTTTTGGAAATACCTAAACTGAACCTAAAGCTTAACCTGTTTGGCTTTCTGCGGAGTGGAGCAGCTCAAACA